AAAAAAAAAAACACGCACTTGGTTACAGTAATCACAGAGATGATCAAACGAAGCTTAACAAGATAAAAATGGGGGCAAATGGGGGGAATAGGAGATTCAATTCTCGAGCATAGGGGCCATGCGAAATCATAACAAGATTCAAGCTTTGCTGTGAGAACAGAAGCTTCGAGCTGCGAAAGAGCGAAAATTCAGCAGAGAAAAAAGGTATGAAATAAAGGGGGGGGCTTTAATGGGGGTTTCTAGAGAGAGAAAAAATGGCGTCCAGTGAAACCCTAGATTCTTTCAATCACCATAGCTCTGTGTGTTGTGTGTCTATCGGAGAGATTAAAAAAGAGAAATAAAGGAAAAGGAAATTGGATTGAAAGGTGTGAAAGAGAAGACTTTGCTTTGGCCGTTTGCTTTTTGCAGGGAAAATTGACACAACTTCCACACATTTTTTTTTTTTCCATTTTCCTTGAAAGTGCTTTTAATTATTTTTTATTATAATTGCAAGTTTTTTTTTTTTATTTTTTAAATTATAATTGCAAGTATGAGGTGATAAATCTAAATGATAAACTCGTTAATAGCTTTTAGATGAATTTCGAGCTTATATTTCATAGCTTGTGAATTTTGGCTTACAGGCTATTTTATATGATCAATAGTTTTGCAAAAATTTAATGAGTTTATTTAAAAATTACCTAAAAAAGCTTATGAAATAAGCTCGAATTTTTTAAAAAATTTTGTTCTGTTAAACCAAACTTATTTAAATATAAAAAACATATAATCTAATCGAATAAATTATAAATTAATTTATATGCTTGCAAAACACAACCTTATTATTTCACGCAAAACAAGTTGTTTGGCTTAACTCGGTTCGATATCGAGACGATTATTACGTTATCGACACATTAGCTTAATAAGGTACAACACATTTACAACTCTAGTCCACGACATAATTATATGGTTTACTATCATAAAATTCAAATACAAGAGTTTGTACTCGACTCGATCTTAAGTTCGAGTATCCAAAGCTCAAGCTCGACTGTAAAATTCTAATAATAAATGTATTCTATATAACTAGATAGGGAGTCATTTATGAAAAACTCCCGTCTCTATTTCAAATTTCAAAATGGGCCCATTTTTGACTTTATATTCTTTTGTAGTTTTTTTCAGTGTTTTGTGATCCGGACCGGCCCGGCGGGTCGACCCGGGACCCGGTCGACCCGGAGCCAGAACCGGTCCGGGTGGGTTAATTAGACCGGGCAACAACGGACCCGGTCAAACCCGGTCAAAACCCGGTCGACCCGGCCTTGACCCGGTCGACCCGGGACAATGACCCGGCTAGGTCAACTCGGTTGACCCGGTCTATATGTATTTTTTAATTTTTTTTTGTTTTTAAATTTTCTTTTTCTTTTTAAAAAATAAAATTATGTATATATATTTATATAATAAATATATACATATTATTACCACTTCAATCTACAAATTTTACATACAAAATATTTAAATTTGTTATTTTTATGTATATTTATATATCACAAAATACTCTATATATAATTTTATAAATTTTAAAATTAATTATCCGGTTCAGCAATTGACCCGGTGACCGGGCGGTTGAACCGGTGACCCGGTGACCCGAAGACCTGCCCGGGTCGATTACCGGGCCGGATTTAAAAACTATGGTTTTTTTTCTTTTTTTGGAATTAATTTATTTTACACAATATTTTCGGGCAAGTAATATTATAGGTAGATAAGATATGGAAGTGTTTCATTTTTATATGATAAATCAAAGTTTATATAATTTAATTTTAAATATATATATATATAAATAAAGGGCAATGCTATATGTACACCCTCTTTTAATAAATTACACAAAGAAAAGTGCTATATGTACACCCTTTTTTTACACTTGAGGGGGTGTACATATAGACACCCCTAAATAAATTATTCTCACTAACATATTTTCAACTATCCTTCCCAATACTTTTGTGTCTTTCAACGGTAAGACTTGTGTCTTGTCCCTTTGCTTTCAAAGAGCATCTCCCTATATATTTAATTGGTTTTGCCTTTGGACCAGCGGGTTTTAAATTAAAGGCATCCAACTCCAGATTCATTTATTTTTCATAAGTCGAGTCATTCAATTGCTCCACAGCAAAACTGTTCTATTCAAATACGTTGGAGCCCATCTGAAATAAAATAAAAAATAAAAAAATAGACTTGAATTATAAAATCAACAATTTAGGGCAAATATTTTGGTTAAATCGTATATTATTTTAATAAATATATATATATTTTATACGTACGTGACATATTTGAAAAAATAAACATAAATAAAGTGAAAATTTTCATCATAAGTATGCATTATTCGCCTAACCGTTAAGCTCACTCAAGAATTTGTGTAAAATTAAAAGTTCATACACAAAATTACATAGCTTGTCATAAAAATATATTAGTTTATACAAAAATATATCATATTTAATCCTGAACGCATTTAAGAATCATAAAAATGTGTTGGAGTTCATAAATATTACTTAAAAAAACATTTTATTTGTTTATTCTAATTAACGCAAAATATATATATTTATGAGTCATCTAAGCAAAAGTATAATTTTTTTTTCTCCTTGTTTTAAATATTTTGTACTGCTTCATAACATGCGTGACAACACTGGCTTGTCAACATTTAACGCCGTTAATTCACCTCGGGTCCTGACCCGGGCCCGGGTCCCATCGTTGGGAGAAAACCGTGACTTTAGGATTTGAAAGATATTTATTTTGGCATTAGTTCGAAGGTTCTAACAAGCACCTGGAACTACAGAAACAGGGAAGATCTTTGCTTATTTGTTTCCTTAATTACGATTATTTTATATTCCATAAATAAGATATTATGGATCTTATTATGGTACTTTGATTTGTAGGAAATCGGATGAGATAATGAATGGAGAGGCGTGTATGATAAAGAGATCAAGGAGAGAGAGAAGAAGATTCACTTATCAAATTCTAATGCTATAATCAAGGAAAGAATCAAGGTTGGAGTCCTATGCCTTGTAGAAGACTCCAACCCTAAGGAGATTCTTTTAAATACCCGTATGCAAGCTCTCATTGCGGCTGCTGAGTTTTGAAGATTTATAGAGCAATAATTGAGCTTCGTGTTTTCTGATTATTGAGTTGTACACAGTTCAGTCTGAGAGTTCGAACTAGCTCAAGGACTGAAGCTGTTTTATTTTGTTCTTTGTGTTTCATCCAAAAACTATTTTACAGCTTATACACTTAGGGAGTAAGTGTAGGTTTTTAAAAAGTCCACGGGACGTGGCCGGAGAATTAGTTGATAGGATCTGTGTAGTGTTGGCTAGGCTTGAAGGGAGTTCGAGTCGTTGTAAGTCCAAGCTATGTGTATGTTTGATCTATCAATGAAAGAGCTCTGAGGGGAAGTGGGACGCTTCCCTGAAGAGTTTTAAAATCTTCGGTTTATTGCTTCCGCATTTTTTAGTTCATACCATCGATAAGCGCACTCCGTAGGAATTATACGTTTCAATTGGTAGCAGAGCAGTGTTCCTGTTCTAATTACGGGATAAAGATCTTTGGGACTGTGTATCGGGCACCATGAGTCATGATGGGATGTCTGTTACGCGCCCTCCGTTTCTTGATGGTTCTAACTACTCGTACTGGAAATCCATGATGTGATCTTCCTTCGATCCCTTGGTAAAGGAACATGGCAGGCGGTGGAAAATGGTTGGACTTTACCACTTCAAGAAAAAGTTCCTGCTGAAACTAAGGGTGGTGAGTCATCGGATGGGAAGTCATCAACCACCAAAGTATTGGTTGAGAAACCAAGGAGCATCTGGACCGACGATGAGAGGCAAGCAGAAGAGGCTAACTTTCGAGCCTTATATGCCATTATGTCTGCAGTAGATCCCACCCGGCACAAAATAATAATCCAGTGCACGACTGCTCAAGAAGCTTGGAGGATCTTAGAGAGACAATTCGAAGGTACGAATGTTGTTAAAACATCAAAGCTCCAAAGAGTCTCAACTGAACTTGATGAGATTCGTATGAGGGAGGATGAAACCATTGACATGTATTATGCTCGGTTCTGTGATCTGGTTAACCAAAGTGCAATGCTTGGTGAGCCGGTTCCAGAAGCTAGACAAGTGCAGAAACTAATGAGAACCCTTCCGGACAGATTTGGGATTAAAATCACTGCACTAGAAAGTTTTCAGAGGATCCAGAAGCTTGGCATCGATGATCTTCTAAGAGAACTTCGCACATTTGAAATCAACCATGGCTTTGACTCTATGAGGATAAGCAAAGGGAAAGGTCTTGCGCTAAAGGCCAAGGTTCGTACCACAGTCGCTGAGAATGATGAATCCGATGAAGAATTTTTTGATCCTGACGAAATCACAAAGGCTCTCAGCGTGCTTACCAAAAATGTTTCAAAGTTGAAGAGATTCCAGAAAAGGAGATTTCAGGGAAACAGGTCGTTTGAAGGGGGCAGAAACCAAATTCAGCAGTTTGGAGAAAGGAAGTCTGGCATACAATTTAACAAGCCTCAGAATGGGAACCAAGGAGTAGAAAAAGACCAATGCCGAGAATGCAAGCGATTTGGCCACTTTCAAAAGGAATGTCCTAATTTCAAGAAGAAGAATAAGACATTC